AGGGTTTCCTTCCCAGCCACCAACACAGCGAGTTGAGACACCTCAACACGCCATGTTGGTTCATTTAATCCTCGCGATTCTTTCACCCTAAACACACCGTGTTGGTTCCTCCAACACACCAAGTTCAGCTCGAATCAGGCTTATTCCCAACAATTACTTCTTAAAATATCCAATTGTGGATAGGAAGTGATTCTAACAAAAAATTTATTTTTATACATAACAATTTATGTTTTATAGAGTTGTACAAAGTAACATTTTAAAACACAATTTTTAATGTATGAAAACAAATTATTATACATGTACAAATAAACTCCAATTACAAATAAATGTGTTCTTATTGTTTTGAGAAAACACTTCTAATAATAGTAATGGAGCACATTAACTCAATGTATTCTTTTGATACACCACATTATAAAGAATACTAATATCCAACTTTAGGTTTGTGAGATAAAAAAAGTTTAGCCAAAAGTATTCTTTGATGATTGGTACATTTTTTTTTTTTTTTTTGCCATCCACAACAAATTATGTTTTATATAGTTGTACAATACAATCATATAAAACATAAATTGTTATGTATGACTAAAAAGTGTTATATACTACCCTTTACAGTTTACAATACACTGATTAGCGGGTCCTATAATTTTTTTATTTGTTTTCTTCTATAACACTTCGATAAAACATGCATGTTATTTAACAAATGAAAGAAATGACTTATAATTTTTTTTCTATTCATAAACTATCCAAGTTATAAAAATGATCCCTATGCGCTTTATTGACAAAGCAAACTTATTTCCTTTAAATTTTTTGCACAATTTACAAATATGTAATGCATGCACTTCAAGTTTAATCCCTCAACTTTGTATAACTCATGAGTTGCAATTCCTCTATTTTGTAAAATAATATTTTACATCTTTTTATATGTTAAAATATTACTTTGACCCCTCGAATATTATAAAATGTCATTTTTGCCACCTTCATTTTCTACACTTTCAACTTTATCTCACTTAATATATATAATTTGATTTTCTTTAAAACTTTCATTCGTCAACTTTAAAAAAACCTATTTTTTTTTTCTTTTTTTGTATGTGTCAATATAAATTAAAGGTAGTCAATGTTTGAACGTATTCAAATTTAGGTTTGTCTATAATTAGACTTATTATTTTTTTTTTATGTTTTTATGTTTAATTTTATATACGCTTCCTATGTATACATTGTGTCATATATAATATGTTTTTTTATTATTTGAACTTTCATTTATTAATTAAAATATATACGGTTCATATGTATGGGTTCCTCAAATGCATTGTTGCCGCCGCAACGAGTGACCGGACAAATTATCTTATATGTACGATGATGCAACAAAGTGTGATATGTTATACTAGTTTAATCAATTCTGACTCATATTAGACAACAAAAACATATAAAACTATTTGGCAAAGTACACACTCAATTCCTAGTTAATTATTGAGTAAATTACACAAATGGTTCCTATGGTTTGGGGTAATTTTCACGTTTGATCCCTAACTTTTTTTTTTAACTCAGAAAGTCCCTATTGTTTTTTTTTTTGTTATGCGCTTGGTCTCTACTGTTTCTTTTTTGTTACGCGCTTGGTTCTTGTCTTACCTAAAAAGACTATTATTTAAATAAGGAAAAATAATGGGATAGTTAAAGTAAGGTAAAAACGGTGGAGTTGGGGGTGTTTTTATTTAAATAAATTAAAATATTAATGGAAAATGGCTTTTTTAGGTTAGAGAGAGACCAAGCATGTAACAAAAACAAATAGTATAGACCTTCCGAGTTAAAAAATAAGTTAGAGACCAAACGTGCAAATTACCTAAACTATAGGGACCATTCGTGTAATTTACTCTTAATTATTATGTTTTAATATTGAAAGTGGTATTTGCTTCGGTATATGAAAAGAATACATACATGGAATAAGACTAATGGAGCACATTAATTATGTATTCTTTTGATATGATACTTTGTTTCATTAAGTCAATGTAGTGTTTTCATAAAACTACAATAGCTTTGCAAGATTAAATGACAACTACTACCTGAAGCAGTAATGAAAACGAGATTTGGTCCAATTTATGATGCTCACCATGTCTTTAATACCGATAGTACAATTTTTTTTAATGGGAAGAGTGTATCCAACCGAGTTACTTTTAGTTTTGTAACATATTTAAGTCATTGTTAACATATTAAAAAAAAAAAAAGGTATGTTTACTTTATTAATACGAAATGCTTATCCTTTCTAAACATTGATAATTGTAAAAACGGATAAAAGCCTTTGTACTACAATATGACCAAAATACTCTCGCTTTACATTTGTTGCTCTTAAACCGGAAGAAAATATTTCGAATATACACAATAAAACTCCTCACCCTTTATTTCTTAAAAAACTTGAACCCATACAATTGTCATTGCCCGTTAAAAAAAAATAATAAATAAACAAAAAAAGCAATTTTCTTTATAAAACAAATAATAAAAGAACTTTTATAAAGAAATAAAATTCTATCAATTACACCAAAAGAAATATATAAATCAAATAAATCTCATACAGAAAATGATTTCGTAAGCAATAATTAGATAATTTATGAATCACTTAACCAAATTCGATTTACAAGTTAGACAAATTATTCACAGACATAAGATGATAGAAGAAGAAATGAAACATAAGATTGATAGAATAAATACAATTTCAAATGAAATAGAAAATTAGAAATAATGAAAAAAAAAATAACGTCAGAAAATAAAAGAAAATAATAATGCAGAATCATCATCACAAATTTTGAAAATATTAAAAGTAAGATTAAGAGAGAAAATTAGTAGATGCCACATATCATTGTTTTATAGGAATAGGAAGATAAATAGAAATAAATATTAGCAGGATATTTAATTTCTTAAAAAAAAATTAATGTATAACCAGGAAAAAATGAATAATTTCAAATAAATTTAATTAATTTATGAAAAAATGAATAATTTCAAATAAATTTAATTAATTTCTAAAATGTTTTCAATGAAACTAGTAAAGTTGAAAGTATTACAAATGTTGAAGAACAAAAAAAATTATCAATGATTAAAAAAATGATTTTTGTTGGTTTAATGTTGTTAACAAATTATTAACCAAATCCTAAAGTGTAATGATAATTAAAAATATGCAAAATCATTTTTTTTTATCGCTTATTTCTTTTAATGCGGTATCAGATGTTGCATTTCCTCTTTAAAGTTGATTAAGAAGTAATACAAGAATATGTTAAATTTGCCTTTAAAACAAAAAAATTATACTATATGTGTAGAAAAGAAAACGTGTTTTAATGATGGGAAATGCTAATGCTCCATAAATTTTGATTAATATAAAAGATGTAAAAATATGATATAAGTAATATAATAAATATTTTTGCCATTGTAAATATGACTAAACATTTTTTACGGGTATTGAAGATTGTCCGAAACAAAAAAATTGAACCTAAAACCCGACTAACCGTAATAATTTTCAAGTTACTAAAATTTGTTATTTTGACTTTTTTTTTCAGTTTTATTAGCTGAGCCAATAAAAATACTGATTTTTCGGTTTTGTTACTGTTCCAATTTTTTAGGACGGATGTTTAATCAAAAAAATTTATATAACATTTTTTTGGGAAATAGGAAATGTTTATTAAGAAAAAAGAGAGGAAAGAGCCCTACCTAAGCAACTAGGAAGGGATAAAATAATAAAATAATAATAACTCAGCAATTTCAATTAAGAATTGTGTCTTAAAAGTTAAAAATTTATTAACAATTGTCTCTTAAAAGTTAAAACACAGTCGAAGTGAATACGTAATAGGCTATACATAATATCAATTAGTTTGTTACTTTTTAACAAAATAAACGAATATTATGTTAATTTTTTGTATACTATCGCTTTTAAGTTTTATATTTACAAAAGATCTTAAAAGAGTATCATTATTTCTAAAATTACTTTGAAAGTTAATTAATTTTGAAATACATTTTAAAATTAGTAACGGTTAATTGGTTAACCAAAAAACCAAACTGAAAAACCGGTTAACGTGTATTTTCAGTTTAGGTTTAGATTTAGATTTAAGATATTAGTAAACTTTTTGGTTTTGATTAACCATCCGATTTCAGTTCAATTAACTGATTATTTTGTGGCTTTTCATTCGTTGTTCTTCAAGGTAGCAAGAAATAATTAGAATAAAACAATAAATCTTTTCTCTTTATTATTCAGAAGCTTTTTTCCTCGTTTTCACTAACACGAACTTGCTGTGTAAATTGGTGGAACACGACAAGTAAAAGTAAGGGGCCGAAACCAAAAGTCTAAGAAAATCCAAACATATATATTTATTATTGTCAATTATAATAAAAGATATTAGTCTATTAATCAACTATGGAACTTATTAAGGTATAACAAGAACTCCTTTGCTTTAGATTATTTTTATTAACAAGAAAATCTGTATAATTCTAGAATAAGAATTAGATGGGAATAAAATGGTGATTTAAACATAAAATATTATACTATATCACGAAAAGCATTTATTTGACAACACATTGCATTGGCAAAAAGCAAAAGCTGACAAAACCTAAAAGGCTATAAGTTCTGTCATTTACAACACATTTAATCGAACAAGCAAAGACTTTGATCTACTTTCTATGGGTTTATAAAAGTTTTATTTGAAGTTGATTATTTGGCTTTATCTATTAGAATTTAGAAGAGTTTATTTATTTATTTATTTGATATTTTTATATAGTCCTGATTTCTCGAATATCAATTAAATTTTGATATCAAATGTTTTAATACCCCAGTAACTTACCTTTTTCTCAATTTTGAAATAGTGTTAATACGTTCTTTTTTGGTTAAACATAATCCACACCCCATTTCAAACACATCATCAAGAATCAAACTCGTCAAGATTTTTAAGAAGTTATTGGAAAAAATGAATAATTTAAAGCATTATTATCAACAATTATTTTGTTGATTCAATGTGCTTTTAAAAAATTCTCAACGATATACTACATGGCATGTTCCACCATATTTTTTGTCATCGATTGTTTTGATCTATAACTATTATGACGAATTTTTTTCCCATCGATTGTTTCAATCTATAAATTTACCATACGAATTAGAATATAAGGTAGGAGACGCCTTATTAAAATTGCACCATATAATTATAATAACTTTATTTATTTGGTACAAAAAGCAACCAGCTTAAACACTATTACGTCTCCAACATTCAAACTCTTCCACCATGCATGATGTATGCCACCACCTTTTCTACTTCAATCTTCATGGCACAATATAACCTAAAACAAACACAAATAAAAAACAAGTCTCAATAAATGAACATGTTAATTAATGGTATCTTGAAAACTATTGGTGGAAAATCTTACTTCCACACTGGGATCCATGGGCGAGTGGTTTTCCACAAGCTTCAGCAATGAATGCAGCCTTCTCCATGCTGATAACACTCTCAACTTCAACTGTGATATGGTTGCAAACGCATGACAAATCTACGTTCTTCACAACACCACAACAACCACCAGATGGTTGAATCTTTGGGCCAGATTTTTGTACATATCTAGCACATTGCTCCATGAGCCCTTGCACATCACCTTGGCATTGAGCTGCGACAGAGTTATTGTTACCGAAGATTGTAGCTAATGAACAAACGACAATAGCAAAATACACAAAATGGGAAGTGGATGTTGCCATTGGAGGGTGGTATTATGAGAGGAATGAAATGGTTTATGCTTGTAAGAGTTATTAATGGTGTTTTGTGAGGTTGAGAAATGGTGCATTTATAAGGGTTTGAGAGGGTAAAATGGTAAAAACATGTTGGGGTTCTTGTGTTACATGTTACATGCACCATCGTTTATTCATTTTGCATGTGAAGTGGTGGATTATGGTTTAGTTGTGTTTTGTTTCGTGCATGACTTTCTTTTAGTAATCATAGCTTTTCTATGCGGTGCATTTTTGATACGTTATCTTGTTGTTTCAGTTATTCAATACGACGTTTTAATTAATTGATATAATCTTATTAAATTGATTTCGATATTTAAAATATATCTCAATCTAATCTAAACTAAAATATAATCCCAACCAATCAAATTACATTATCGTTTCCATCAAAATATAAATATCAAACCGACGTGATTTAATGAAAGTTACTACTGAAGTGTTTTTATCTAATTTATTCATTGTGGTTGGAATTTGTAAACACATCAACTACTTTTTTATGAAACTATGAAGTTTCGATTTTCGAAATCATTCTATCTTTTGAATCTATTAAACAATTTTTACCTATGTATTTATAAACAATTTCCAATTTGTAATATAGAGCTTCAGTATCATCAAAGTTTTTTTCCATATCATTTCTTCATTTTTATGAAAAACATTATGTTTGATAGTAATTATGAAAACAAAATCATAAATCTTACAAAATATAATCATATTATGTTTGATGTATAATTGACTGTTTATTGAAAATGAAGACTTGCATGAATTCTATAACTTATTAAAATGTAATTGTTAAATATAAACAACGATAATATCTTTAAAATCGTTTTTAGCTTAGTAACTAATGATTATATTTGATTAATTAATAATTTTGTTTATTTGGTTTTAATTTTTTTTTTTTGACTAAATTTTAAATATATATATAAAAAGTAATGATATTTTTTTTACTAATTACCTTTGTCATATTGTTTTTCAACAGTTTAATAGTATTTACATATGGCTTCTCATTACAAAAGATAAAAAATTGCTTAGTAAACTTTATATAAAATTTATGTATGTATATTTAAAAGAATTTATTAAAAGAATAATCTGTTAAAAATCTTTTGATAGTTTGTCTTAATAAATGTGTTTTATGTATTATAACTAAAAAGCAAAAAAAATTGTCGTTATTAATTTTAAATATCATATACAATGAAAAATGTTAAATATATATATATATATATATATATATATATATATATATATATATATATATATATATATATATATATATACTAGCAGTGTACCCGCGCAAAGCGGCGGGGCGTGTAAATTCTTTCGGTGATATGTTTCCTCTACAAAAATGTTATTTTACAAAAGAAAGTACATGTCGAAGACAAAATAATCAAACTATGGTGTTATTTGGGAGATGAAGTCATTTTTTGTTCCTGGACGGTGGGCTTTATAGCAGAGGATGGAACAAAGAGGTATATGCGATTGGAGGGATATTTGAATCAACATGCTAAATTTAAGGATATCTAAAAGGGTTCAAAATTTGAATGAATCCGGGATTTGAGGGAACCATATCAAATTGTTGAGAAATATAAGGAGATTTGATAATAAATATTTGAATTCAAAATATGGTTAAAATTTAATATTATTTTATTAATGATTACTTGTAGTATCAGCTTCATCATTTGGACGTCTTAAAAAATAATATTATTATAATCAATCTATTTTTAGAAATAGTTAGATTTCTTTTATAAGATAGTAAATATATATATATATATATATATATATATATATATATATATATATATATATTCGTTTATTATATGTTGATAATAAATTAAATTTTAATGAGTAACAGAACCAATAATATAAATTTATAACCTTTTCTAAAAAAATAATCAAAAATAATAAATTTATATCTTCAATATAAAAGATGAAGATCTTCATAAAACAAGAGTTTATAAATACTCCAAACAAAAATAATATCAAACCAATTATCCAAGCATAAAAACCAATTACCTTAGTTTATCTTAGCTAGCCAGCTACAGCTAGGAACTAGGTGTGCATGTTACCTAGACATGCAGTAGTGGAGTTTGTTCTCATTTCCCTAGAGTAAATAGTCTACTACGCATTGCAACTTTTTTTTTCTTGAGTATGTACATGAGTTACATCTTTTCAATTACGGTGGTTTAAACAATCCTAATTAATGTTAGAAATATTTTTATTTGTTGAAATTGCATTATTTTTTGAAAAAAACTGATTACAAGTAGTTTATTATAAATTGACTTTTTATAAAAATATTATAGAGTGTTTAAAGAGTATTTTATTAGCAGCACCCTTTCAATTATCTGAAGCTTTAATAAGTACATTGTTTAATATAATATAAATTAACAAAGTTATTTTCCAAATAAAGCCATTCAATTACATAAACTATATATTTTTTAATAAATGCTAATTAATTGTTATTTACAATTACAATAATAAAAGGTCTTTTAAATTAAAAAGAGATTAAATATATTACTTTTATGATAATATTTTAAATATACATTTTTAAGATCTAAATCTTTTATAAGGTTATGTTAAAAAAAATTAACTAAATAAAAGATATGCATTAGTTTTAGTAGAAACAAACCACCAATAAAGATGTTTTGAGATTAGAGTTTTGTTACTTTGTACAAATTTACACATTCAAAAGATGTCGAAAATCTTCTATTACAAAATTTGTCTTCTTTCGAGGTGACAATTATTTAAAAAGAAAATAAAAAAAAAAAAAAAAAGCCAAAAAACTGATTCTTTTTATTAACTTATTTAACATAAGAACAAAAAAATTTACATTAATAAAACTAACACCTAACACCGTAAACGTAAGACATAAAAAAATGTAGGTTACAAAGCCAAATATTTTGGGATTTTTTTTATAAACACCAACCTATCTCAAACACCAATCTAACATAACTTACTCTACTACACACAAGTCTAATTTAGATTATAAGTTTTTTTTTTTTTTTTTAATTACACCATCATTACACAATAATCTAGACTATCGACTAAATTTGATTGGGAGTGTTTGAAACCTCTGGGCTTTTTTTTAATTCGATTTTTTTTTTGTGTTCATAATTTACACATCTTTTTTTTAATATCATAAAACCGATGCATCTACCGTTTTTTTAATACCCACCTTTTTAACCCACGATCTTTATTTGTAACGTCCAACCTTTATAATTATATTTTATATAAATATTAAATATGTTATACTTTATAATATATTTTAACTCTAATACAATTTATAATTAAAGTCTTGAATTATAATGTAATAAAAAATCAAAAATTTTAAATTTTAAATCACATCAGTTTTTATTCTTTCGACTAACATATCATTATATGCAGTAAATAAAATATAATATTTGTATGAATTTTATCGTAATATTTAAAAAAAAAAAATAAGTGATTGAAGACAACTATATTTCTAGTTTTGACTTTTGATTAAATTTTATTGGGAGCTGCCACCTCCGACGACCACTATCATCATTTACTGCCGGCAACATAACATCGTCACTAATCACTGTCGTGACCAACTCCGACAATTTTTTTCCGGCCACCATGTCGAAAATAAAAGAAGAGAGAGAGGCTTTTTATTTAAACGAAATTAGTCTTTTTTTTTATTTTTTTATTTATTAAATTTATTTAATTTAGTTTTTTAGTTTAGTATTAAAAAATTATTTTCTATTTTTGTAATTTTAAAACGTTATAAAAAAATAATTTTAATAATTTACATACAAAAAATATATACAAACGTTTTGTTTAATATTTTCTATTTTTGGTAATATCATTTGTATCCAAATATGAGCAAGGAAAATATTAGTTTGGTCTTAAATTATAAAGTATTATTATAGAATGCAAACCATTAGCTTAATACACAAACAAACATAAAAAGATATGGGAAAATGATTTAGGGGTAACTACCTTTTATCCATGTTCATATATTGACAACTTCTTCTTTTATGTATATAATAAATCAACTAACTTTTTTTTTAACTGTTTAAATTACACCACTATTACCGGCTAATACTGGTTTTAACCGTTAACTCAAAGGGAAAATGACTTAGGAGGGTAACTACCTTTTATCCGTTTTCACGTATTGGTAACTTCTTATTTTTTGTACATAAGAAAGCAACTAACTTGTTTTAACTGTGTAAAATCTCAAAAATCATAACCAAAAATTTCGTTTTTAATTTAATACTAAAACCATAATTGTCAAACCATTAATTTAATACACCGACATCGAGTCTCGCCCCGCATCAGGCCCCGCCTGGCATCGAGCCCCCCTCGGTATACAGATCTGTCTCTCTTAGGCCCCGCCTATCTCGATTCCAGGCATAAATTTAATTAAAGAATAATTGGTCTTATGTCTTACTCGGCGAGTTGGTTGCCTTACTCGCCGAGTAGCAGTGGGAATGGAACGCGTGTTTAGTGACCTACTCGGCGAGTCCATCAAGGGACTTGGCGAGTAGCAGCTAGCAGATGAAACCCTAAATTCTGGGGGTTTTACACCCTATTTAAAGGATCATTGGCCTCCACCAGCCTCCCCTTATGCTTCTTGTCCCTCTCAAACCCTAAAACGTGTGTGTGTGTGTGTGTTCTTTGGTGTCCAAGCTTGAAGGAGTAACCATGGGAGGAAGCATTTGAAGAAGCAAGGAAAAAGCAAGGCCAGGAACTCGGGAAAGCTAAGGGATTTCATCAGACATCACTCTATGGAAGGTAATAGGCTATTCCTTAAGCTCTTTTCACTTTGAACCTCCCTTGGATGGGTGTTATGATGGACTCTCCATCTTTAAGATAAGATCTGAAGTTGTATCTTTAGATCTGGACTTCCCTTGACCTCTAGATCCATAAAGTTCCCAGATTGTGCAAGGTTGAAACTCTCCCAAGGTGTAAAACTCCATTAAAGATCTTAGATTGATCATTTCGGGCCTTTAGAGCCTTGCATGTACGTAAAGATTGCACTTTACGTGATAAACGTGCCTTAGGAGCTTGGATCTGTAATTTGGGGCCTTGCCATGGCTTAAAGAGCATCTACATGGATTAAGATCTGCATGGACTCGACGAGTTGATTAAGGGACTCGGCGAGTCCGTTGAAGATGGCCATGAACTCGGCGAGTTGGATGAACAACTCG